AAGCCTGAGGGCTTGTGATAAGACCCCTCCTCAACATCTCTGTCATAATGTCAGGTATGTCTCTGTTTTCCCACACCTCACTATCTTTATTGGCACCGTTTTCTAACTTTCCTCTGGGAACACTTTCATCTTGCTTAGTAAGGTGAGAAGACAAAAAGTATGATGAAGATTGTGCTGAATCTCCTTCGATAATTGTTGAGAGTTCTTTAATTTGTTGTGTGTTTACACCACTGGAAAGGAGATAGAAATTCAACATTAATAACACTGATTGTTTCAGACAAGCAAAGGGGAATAAAATTCTGCATTTTAAATCTCAGCTCTGAAATGAAATAAGTCAAGTAAGACAGCTTTACTGTGAAACAACAAGTAATGTCTCTTTATAGAGAGAAAACATTTTATGGATATACATCAACCAACTACATGATAGATAAGAAATAGAAACCCTTTTCTTCAACTTACACTCTATTTTTGTTTAAAAAATCCCACATCAGATATAACAATAATTTGCATAAATAACTCTGCTGTGTGAAAAGCTTACTCTTAGTGAATTATGTGAGGATATAAAGTGCAGTCTACAACTCTTAAATTGTTAATATTTGTATATCTGACAAATGCCAAAACAGAACACATACATTTGATATTTCAAAATATAAATCATAAATTCAACTTGAGTGAATTAATTATAATACATATCAGATTTTTAAAAGTGTTTTCCAAATGAGTATTACAATTATACAGGAGAGTGCACTGACAATACACTATAAACCTAAAGGTAAATATGTTTGTGGGCTCGCAACCTTTCATACTGCATAGAAAACACTACAGGCATCACTAAAGTAAATCACAGAATAAAGAATAACTGATTTAAAGCTTTCATGGTGATTCACTCTTGATGTTGAACCTGATTTTTGGGTCCTGCTACCATGTAAAGTTACATAATTTCTGCAAGAGACAGCACTCAAAAGTACATTTAACACCAACAAAGAAGAATGTTCATTAACAGCCTCACAAAGTGTACTTACTCATACAACAAGCGTCCACAAAGAGAGAACAAGATGCATTATGCACAGAAGACAATCCTTTTCAAGTAGATGATAACAGACTACCAGAATACATATCTTATCTAACATAATACACCACATACTAAAATGTTAAAGCTAGGAGCTTGGAAATTATTAAAATTTACATAATGCAAATTCACCTTCATCGCTGGAAATGGCTGTGATAAGTAACAAGTGATGTAAAGCTTTCATGTTCAGAAATGGCACCGTGGAGCTTCAGTAATCATATAACAGAAATGTGATTATGCATAAACATTTCACAGCTGTAGCTTTGGAGACAGGTGTTATTTTCTTAAATTTCAAATCTCCATACTTCCCATGATTCAGGATTTGTAAAATTCCGCTTCTGAACATACATACCACTCCTAGATGGCTAGAAGATTCCAAGTTATCTGTACTGAGTTTTACACAACTGATTCATCAGTGTAGTACCTAAATCCTCATGAATGTAAAAGGATTAGCACTTATAACTTGCATCTCAATAAACAAGAACTTTTGACGACCGCTATCCTTCAGTCTGTTTGGTGACACTAGAAGGCGATTAATGTCAGCCCATAATTTTCAATTCCAATTATATCAAATCTGTAAGACGTAACCTGTCACCATGTCTGCAACAGTTCATGGGTGTTTTGTACAGAATTCCAAATTTCAAACATCCAGTGGTTCATTAGTTACCATCATCAAAGTAAATACCAAATACCAATTTCATGCGGCAACCAAGTTCTTATCTTATGTTCTACACAAAAATTAGCTCATAAAAGTAACACGTCTTTTCAAAGATCTATTAACATGCATAATTCAGCACCTTTTAGAAGGGGCTAGTGTTGCTTCCACCTCAGAATTCTGCAAGTCTGCCGTGTAAATGAGCGCTTTAGAATCACTGTTCTAGTTTTAAAACATCTTATTTGTACAAATACACTATTTCAATTTTATCCAATAACTAGCAGTGACAATACAAAGCAAAAATCAGAACAGATGTGCCACACAACATTAAATAAGTTTAAGCTTCAACTACAGTTATTCATTTAACCACTTCGCTATTTGTCATACTTAAAAATGTATGTTTAGACAGTATTAACATAGGGATAATGTAATATGATAAAAACATAAAGAGAACATACTGACATTCTGAACACTTTACTTATCTCAAAGTACAAGATTATTCCTGTCAAAGCACTCAGTCCCATGTTCTGTTAAAAGATTATACTGGCTTGGCAAGAATGATTAGATTACAGCTTCACAGTTAAGAACATCACGTACATTGATACGTTATCATGTACATGGGCTTATGTTTTGCATCATCAGATTAATTAACAATTTTATGTGGGTATAGAACTTGACCTCTCACCATACAGGAAAAACACAGATTGAGCAAGTCTGAGAACAGGGCGCAAAGAATACTTGGACCTAGGAGGATGGAGAAAATTGCTTAATGAAAAGCTTTATGGCAGACATTATTATGACAATTAATCAAAGAGGATGAAGTGCGTTGGGCATGCAATATATATATGAAAAAAGCGAGAAGTGTTCTACGTCAAAAAAACTGGGAGACAGGCATAGTGGATGGAATATACTGAAATGGATCTTAAATAAACACAATTCAAGGGTATGGAATGGATTCACCTGGTTCAGGACATGGTCCAGTTTTGGTTCTTGTGAATATGAAAATGAAAATTTATTGAGATTTAACAAGCAACTCTGCAAGATACATCATGTATGGACCTAAGCTATCTTGTCATGTTAAAGGATGAGAATGAGAATGTAAAGTCAGAATACTCTTGACTGCCTGTATCATAAAATGAAGAAGGATAAGATAGGAGATAGGTCCGTACCAACTGCAGAGGTTATTTACTGTTTAGTGTATCATGATTTAAAGAAGAGAAAGTGACCATTAAGCTAAAATTCTGTCATGTCTGTGTCCCAGCTGAGATATAAACAGAATATTTCCAGACACAAATAAGAAGCCATTCTGTTTAAACTTATCACAGCTTTGGAAATGTTACTCCAGGGATATTTTTTAAGGAGGTGTGAATTCATGAATTGTAATGTGTTGTCACCAGTGTGAGGAGTACTAACCTCTGCAACTTTTGACTCCAGAGGCACGGGGGTGGACGCTTGCCTTGAGAGGGCTTCTGCTTCTGCTGCTGCTCCATGCTGGCTTTGCTTCCACCACTTGGTTTACTGGAACTACATTGTGCAGCGGTGCTATCCACATCACAGGCAGAAATTGGAACTGCCATTTCTTCATCAGACAACCCCATCTTCTGCGAAGGAGTGATACGTTTGTTGTCTTTACTTGAAAGATGCGTCATCACAACAGACGATTCAGGTGGACTCAAATATTTTGTTGAGTCCAGCCCTTGATCCTCATTACTACTACAACTACTACTGGCACTAGTGCCAGTCCCTGAGCCTTCCATCAGCTTCCTTTTCACTCCACGAATTTGTTCTATTGCCCTTGTAAGTTTTGTAATTCTTTCTGAGCATTTGTCTGAATAATCTGAAAACATTTCTGGAAATTTCACAGTTTTATATTCATCATGACTCATGTCTGCAATAACTGAGGGAACTGAAGGTGTTTTTATGTCAAAATCACCTGAATTTTCATCACACGTACATGAGCTATGCAGCTGTTCTTGCAAGAATGAACTCTTTCTTAAAACATGCTCATCAGGCAACTCTCCGTTTGTAATTCTGAGGGGCACTGAGGTACTCTGTGTCTGGGTGCCACAATGTGAAACCGCCTGTCTGGTACAGGTTACACTTTCATGTTCTGAATGTGACACTGTCACAGCTTTTGTCATTTCTTTTATGGCATCTTCAGCCTTCACATTTGCATGCATCTGTTTCCTTGTATTTTCCTTTCCTTTTTTTGTCTTTTTGTGCTATGTTCTGCCGCTGCACAAGGTGACTTGGCATAGATACCTCCTGCTGTAGATGTTTCCACATCTGGTGTAGACACATCACTTGTGCTCACGCCAAGACGCTCGACACTCTCCCTGCTCATCGCAAGGAGTCGCGATATGTAAAGTGCTAACTGAGGGTTAATTTCATGTATATCAGGATCTCCTTTCTTCTGACATTCATGCACAGCTGCAAGTAGTTTTCCAAGATATTGAATGTGGGAAGGAACCAAATGATCTGGTGGACTCATGTACGAAGTACTGTCCTCTGACATGTCCTTGTCTGAAATAACAGTTCTGTTCGTCACATGATGCCACATCTCTGTTCTGTCTTTATCTTTAATTCTCTCAGTCTCACCCTTTCCAGCCACCACACCTGGCTCCCTTTTGCTTGGCTCTTTCAGTTCACTCTCTGTTGTCATTGTTGCCTTCTCCTTGACATCTCTACTGCCTCTACCTGTTCGCCTGTGTTTCTGCCTGCAAATCTTCTGGCCAAGTGCATCATACCTCTTCTCTTTTTGTGCTGAACTCTTACAACAAATTACCTCAGTCTTTTCTGGAGAAGAACCTGACTTGTATTTTTTTTCGGTCTGTTCAGAGACGCTCACCACTATCTTCACTCCCTCATAAGACGATGACGTACTGCTGCCCAGGCTTGATTCTACACTGTGTTCCCTGGTCTCACAAACTGATACATCAAAACTGTATTCGCTGAGAACTGTTACAGAATCATTGTCTCTTACCACCTCAGTGTCACCTCTCCTGACACCCTTATCCACTTCAGCAACCAGATTCTCCCTTTTATCATTTTCATTTTCAGTCTTTCCTTTACTATGTCTTCCATTCCACTTTTTACTTGTCCTTGTACTTATTGCATCACTTTCCCTGCTTTCCGTATGAACACCATGTTTTCCAAATTCCACTTGCAAATGACTTGTTTCCTCCTCCTCATGATCAACAGTCTCTCTCCTGCCACTTGACGTCACTTCATTCTCTCTTCCTTCGTCATAATCCAATGACCTACGTTCCTCTATTTCACGTTCACTATGTTTTTCATAATCGACAGAACTTTTCTTTTGTTCGGCAAGAACTTCGGGTTCATCTTCATGTACCGATAACAATGCCATACTGGAGCTTCCATTATCAGAAGACTGATCAGAGCTCATCATGTGGTTCTCAGGAACTGGAAGCCATTCTTGTGGCACATTCTTCTCATCCATAAGCAGGGAATGCTGAATATTAACCTGTTCTACCAAGTCTTCTAATGTGTAAGTTTTCTTCTCAGAATTCGCAGCCTTGCCTGCAGTGGGGTGTATGTCAACCGAGTCCCTGCTGGGTGCCACTGAACTGATACTGTTCAAGGGTGAAACACCATTCTGTCTTAGTTGGCAGTCAGCAACATTCAGTCTCACTGGACTGTCTTGTTCTGCTGCCTCCCAGCGGTGTCGACTGACTGTCTCTGGAACCAAATTGCAAAGAACTGCATTAAGCTATCCCATGAAAGCATCATTAAGTTCACACTAGCTGGATAAGAGGCCATCTGGACCCAACTCTTATGGGCGCTGTCCTGCATATTGCTCACAAAACTAGTCTTGGACAAAACTTATAAACACATAACCATGGTAATGGCTGTTTTTCAAAAAGGGTGATGAGGAGTTCAGATATTGCTTTCCTGTTACTAACACACGTCTTGCCACTGCCCATGGCTATGACAACGGTTTTTTTATCCCACTCAAATTTTAGTGTACTTGTACCTGCTCGAGATGATGGTCCAAAGGAAGAGTCTTGCTGAATACCATTGTATATACGCTCAAATGCTAAGTCCATGTTCCTCTGTTGCTTTGTACACAGCTCTTTACGCCGGTAATCGTCTCGAAATATCTCTGTCTGCACAAACAGTCAAAACACCAAAGAGAAATACAGTAATGGCTAATTATTCATGTCCCTAAAATTTGCCGACAGTGTTATAATCACAGGCTGGACAATAAATCAAGTTTCATTACCTCTTGAATTCTGTGTTGGCCATTATTCACCCTAATGAATTTGCATATCAGTGCACTGATTCATCCGTTAACACGTAGACCCAGTACTAAAAGGTCCACTGTTTGACTGTACTTGTACCAATAAAATTGCTTGCTTAGTGTAAATACATATCCCCACTGCCCAGTTCCCTATTACTTACTGTCATGGCACTACATAGTAATCACTCTATAAAATATGTGACTGTCAAGCAACAAAACTTCAGTGGACATGCGGACATGATGCATTATAAAACCAGTTATAATAGCCCACTGATGACCTGGGATAGATAGATGAACATTTAACAGTGAGAAACATCTGTCTTTGCAGATCTCATACATAAACAGCAGAACTTGTGATCTTCAAAAGTTCTGGGCAGGAAATGTGACTCGACCTAACTCACTGGAAGACCGTGTTCACGAGTGCTCCGAATCAGCCTCTCCTCTCGGGCCAGTGCATGCAAGTCACCTAGCAGTTGTCGGTAGTCACGATGCAGTCGTTCCCTAACAAGCGCTTGCTGGCCCCTAGCTTGTCTGTGATGGCTTATATTGCTGCTCACAGGCATAGATTCACACAGAAGTTCAGCTGCCTTGATGGCATCCAGCTGTAACACAAATAAATACACGCTATAAGAAGCAATGACAACAAGCAGAAATTATGCTGAACATGGTCTTCTGTAACTGTGGTCTGATGAATCAACTCCTCAGAGAACACATAAGTAATAAGGTTGCTATGCATGTCAGCATTCTCCCAGAAATGACAATGTGCATGATCAAAGAGGGCAGACCATAAGAAGGAGAGTATGGAAACAGAATGGGACAGGGCATCAAATCTGGCATCTGGACAGCTTGCAATACCTGCACGATGACACCCCATAATTTGATTTCAGTACCAAAATTAGTATAAAACCATCTTGTTTGTCAGTTGCTTCCACTTGTCTCTGGTCTGGTGGTTAGGCAACCACAGCCACTTTTATGACACAGAATGATCTAAGTCCACTGGTGGTTTCTGTTTGCATGAAGCAATTACTGTGTGCACGCAGGAAAAAAGAAATTTCAAAATGACCTGTATTATTTATGTATTGACCTGTGTACAGCAACATTTCTATGACGAGTACAAAATTTAGGGAATTATAAGCAAAATGCCCATATTTCACAAAAGAATAGTTGGAAACATTCCTGAGCATTTAAGACAAAGTTTGGTCAAGTGATGGTGATGATGTACACACACACACAGCAGCTCACCTCATGCACATGTGGGACTACACGCTCAACTCTGGCTTCACACGGGTAACTATTTGCAAATCTGTTTCCATGATCATAAAACTGCACCGTGGATTGCTCCACCTTTGTGGATGAGGCAAGATCGCCCTTGACTCTTGATACATCTGTACAGCTTTTCTCAGATGAAGCATCAGACGTATCTGAACTATATAAACAATAAGAAAATTTCAATAAATATAAGATCATTGTTAATATCATCTTCTTGGCTATGCAGACAGGTTCTTTCATTCATAAGGGAACTATATCAGCATTAAAATGGTGGAGTTTGATCCTAATAGAATGTCTGTATAATACTACTGTTCTAGAAGTGAAAGCACCAAATGAGGACAGCAATGTTGTTATAAAGGACCCAAAACATGTGTCCAATTAATCATCTAAGTACCACATAAATTGCATTCACAAACAAAATTAAAAGCAGATTAAACCGGCTGAATGTTTGGTATCACATGACTGAGAATATTATTTTATCCGTTGTTCTGTATGGGCGTGAAACTTGGTCTCTGACATTACAGGAAGAAAAAATGATTGAGTGTGTTTGAGAACAGGATGCAGAAGGGAATCTTTGGACCTAAGAGGGATGAAGAGACAGGAAGACAGAGAAAACTGAATAATTTTCAAACATACACAAACATTATTAGGACAATCAAATCAAGGGGAGAGGGGTTGAAGTGGGCAGAGCTCCACACTTCACAGAGTGTCCAGCCTCCTTGTATTATCTTTTATTTCCCATTGTTCCATTCAGCACCCTGTTCTCAAACACCTTCAACGTATGTTCATCTGTTAGTGTGAAGACCGTGCTTTGCTTTGAACCTACACAAAACAACAGGAAAGATTGTTATAGTTTTCCAAAGTACATAAATACATAACTCAGATTCCTTCTTCTTCAAACCATCACCAATGAAATGCAAAATAACAATGCCACCTGCTTATTATGAATGAGAACTGATTCAGGACAACCTTGTAATGTCAGTGTCCTCTCCACACTTCGATGAACCGTGTGCAGAGGCAGGTGGAATCCGTTCCGTTCTTGCCATCTCTGTCTGTGGGCGACTACAGGTGCACTGCAAGGAGCCACAGGTGCAGTGTGCACTGCGCATAGCGTCTCTCAGCGGCTGACTATTTTTCAACTGCCTAAAAATGAGAGTGAAGATAAACTGGAAAGGAAGGAACACTTAGCTGCCAAAGCAAAATATTTAGGCAGATGGAGGCAGTATGTTCCTCCAAAAACACTGGTATCTACCTACAGGTTCACACAGAACTATAACCCAGAATAGAAACATCAACATCTTTACCACCACCATGATATTGGGGGGGAGCGGGGGACATGGTTTTCAAATTTGATTTATGTAAATGATCAACTAATGTCAAGCAGTCTGTTCTCTCAACAGTAAGCAATGATATATCATACTGACACCTTTCATAAAACACAAGATTAAAATTAAAAATGGTACTAAAATTAAAGAAAGACACTTGTGTTATTAAAATACAATGCTTACTTATGCCCCCCTCCCCCTTTAGTAGATGAAAATAAAAAGCATCTTTCTTTCTAGAACAGAACAGTTCTGCTTGTATTTTCCTAGTTCTTCAACAAAGTTCAGTACGCTTCTCGTGTATGAAGTCTTTCTTACCTTTTCTTGGGTGAGTTCTTCCCCAGTGACGCTACCACTGCAGACCTCAAGTCCTCAACTGTTCGGGCAAACTTGTGTTGCTTTCTTGAAGCGTTCCTACTCTTCTCAGTGTTTGCCAGCTCCAGTCTAAGTTTTAGATTTGCTTCCCGTCCTCTGTCCTCTGCTTGTGCCTGATTTCTCTGATTTTCAGCTTCCAGAACTGCAGCTGCATCTGGCTGCAAATGTCAAAAAGAACTACACGTCAGTACATTCTTTGCATTCACCAGATAATGCACAGATCATGCCACAACTCCAAACACAACCACTGTCAGGCCATGGGTAGGTAATGGAGACATGTGGCAAGTACATTTTTAGTTTCAGTATAAATGTATTACAGGTTTACACTTCTCTCCAAAATGCAGTACGGTAACTGCCAGGAAGCATGTCATCTTCTAAACAAGGTTTCAGTCCTCTAACACCATGGTAATCGCCCTGATGATGGAGATGGCAAGGACCTCCGAAACGTCAGTAAACTTCTAGTAGACTACACGGCACAACAACACGGAAGGCAGCCACCATGATCATCTATGAAACTATCTGCTTATGGATTGTGAAGCCATATAGTCTTGTAGGTGATTATCACTGTACCTGCAAACTACAAACTGCCACAACCCACAAGTCCTCAATCTAAACATTCTCACATTTGCTGATCATACAAAAAAGGTTGGTGACCTCTGTCAATATGTTCATGTGTACATAGAATTCCTGATATTCACAAAATATTGTTAATTTCTTACCAGAAAAAATATCAACATGTTGCCACACAAAAACCACGAGACGCTAGCATAATTTGCTCTAGCCAGCAGAATATTATGTACTAATACAGTAACAGCTGTAATAACCCTTTCCAGCCATTTAGTTTTACAAGTACGTTCACACAGCAACGCACTGTAACGTAAACCAGACATTACTTACCTACACAAGATGTCTTTATATCTATTCTTCCAGCCAGTATCTATCAAAATTGACAGTGGAACCACGGTTCCGGAGAATCTGATGTAAATATGTCTTTGTATTTAAATTATATTTATGCATTGAATTAGTTGGGTCTGTGGTAGCTAAAATATGTTATAAAATTTGTGCACTTTAGAGTATCAACATTTCGTGCAAACACCATATCTATACAAGATTTTGATCTAGTATTACTACATAGAGGATTTGACATCAACATTAAGCCAAACGTTTCCTCCATAACTGTGACAAAGCTTTGATTTTCCTCCTTCTTTAAATCAATGTTAAAATCTCCTGTCAATATTATGGGCATTGTATTATGCCCTTCTGAGGCCATAATTGAAAACATCTCTGTAAATTTGGGAGCAAACGTTCCCAAATGACTCATAACAAATCTCTTACAATCATCAATAGGTGTGTTGTTAAAAATATACAGGCTAACAATTAAGACTTTTTCACCATTGACCATACACTCTGCCGCACAAATATCACCTCTCTTTTCAGCTGCAGCTATTCTGTAATCTGCTCCATCCTTCTTAGGTGACTTCATCAACAGATGTGGGGTAGCCATGGTAGTTGCTCCATGTTTCTCGTACATAGCCACTCTGCCTGCTCTTTGTTCGTCACGCATAAATTGTGTGATGCATTTATACCCTTCCAAATTTACAGTTTCATTGTTGTGCATCCACGTTTCATTGAGCGCCAGGATATCGGTATCAGTAATCACTGTATCCGTTGCTATGTCGAGAGGCGGGCGCTTAACGCGCCAGATGCATTGAAAATTGTACACATTGGTTCATTAAAATTACAATAAATGTATACTCTTACCCTTCCTGAGGAATGAACGTTTAAAGGTGACTCGGCACTGGATCTTACACATCTTCGTAACTAACACGTTTTTGCCTTATGACACTTCTGTATAGATGTATTTACGTGAAAAGAAGACAAGCCTAATTCTCTTACACGAGTTCACAAATGCAGATGAAAATATTAAATGTGATGAACAATAATAATAAATAGGAATCCCTTACCTCAAATTTTGTTAAATTGTAAGAGACCAAAATGTCCACCGGCAATGATCAATTTAATCAAAACTAAAATGGAGAGAGTGGAGGGCAGTATCACAGATTTCTTAATAATTCTTATATAAAATAAGTACTTGTGATATTCTTCTACAACCGATTCACAGCAGAGCTCTTTCCGCAATAATGAAAGCGGATTGTTGACGGCAGTAATGAAAAACAACAATGCCAAATAAACAGATGACATAACAATTTACACATTGTTAGTTTGGATCTTACACATCTTCCTAACGCTTTTTTGCCGAATGACCCTTCCGTATCGATGTATTTACGTCAAAAGCCAATAAGATACAAAACGGAACTGACTATTACCACCAAAATCCTACAGTTCACAAAACATAAACAAGAGACAGGGCAGTCAGTGCTTGACTTCTGAGTGGCAGAAGGAAGATGTAAAAAACTCAAATTCGTACCTGTAAAGCTGCTTGCATGTGACCCAATCCTACTTCATCAAGACAGTCTTGATATTGCTGCTGCAGAAATAACAGCTTGTGAGTTTGCAATCTCTTTATGTCTGCATTTTGTTGTTGTTCAAATGAACTCCTCTGTTTATCTTGTTCACCTCTGACTCTCTGACGTATCTGATTTGCTACATCCTTAGACTGTTGACGGACCTAATGTTAAAGGAAAGAAATACATAATCATGCCTCCCTACTATACAGCTGTATTTTCATGTGAACTACAAGTAAATGTTTTGACAAGTAATAGCATTCTGCCTGTGGTCAACTGCCAGCAGGAACTTTACTGCACGTTAACCATGTTTTTGGGTTCCTGTTACAAAACAAGATAAGGAAAACCACTCAGCCATAAATATATTAATTATGCTAATCCTGAATATTCATTAGTAACATAACTGATACTTATAGTTTAATTATTTTAATTGGTTATATTTGCCTTTGAAGTGAGTCCATTGTCACTGTTACATGAAGAATGATATAACCTGATCAAACATAACACAGAAGGAATGTGTACAGACATTACAGGCCATAACAGCCACCTACGGAACCTTATAGGTTGTTCTGAAAAAATCCATCAAGTTTGAAGCCCTTTTTTTTACATATAACATGACAGTTTCTTTTTACAGTGAATGGTTGTTAGCAGCTAAGGCTGGAGGAGCACCCCTTGTTGGCTATCTGCAACTGTGTATTTCATACATTTGCATCTTCCCTTCATAACTGGAGGCCATCTGAAACCTGAGGATACACCATAAACCTTTCAACCACATTTCTTAGAATCAGTTTGTGTGAAGTTTGGTTGGGTTATGTTAATCCAGTTCATCTCATGTATTTTGTCATTGGGATACGTTCTGTAACTGTACTGTATTTCTGAATGTGATGTTCTGTACTTGCTCCACATTCTGCATATGAGGATCTACACTCATTCACCTATATAATGGTTTATAGCATTCTATTAAAATTATTTAGTCTCTTCCACCTCCCATCATCATCACAAGCTACAGTACTTTGACCTCTGTTCATAATAACCTAAAAAAATTATTGTTTACATTGCCATAACCTGCTTATTGTAACCAAACCCTACATCATTTTACGGTGACCCTCCAAAAAGTAGAAACAGAAACCATTTATGTTACCTGTTCTAGTCGTAATCTTCGGCGCCGATTTATTTCCGTCTTCTTCAAACTTTCAATATCTGTAATTAACATCTTTCCCCTCTGTATTCCTACTGCATTTCTACTTTCCAAGACGCTACTCGACATTCTCAACACATCACAAAGTAAGCTTGCTTGCCGAGAAAAATAGTTGCTCCATACTTCTAACCCCATCCACAAATAATATATGAACGGGAAAGGAGGAAAACGTAATTAATACAATACATAAAAGTTATCATCACAATCGCTTGTCAAATTTTATATTTCAAACTTTTGTAACAGATATTGGCCACACTGTAAATAAAAATGGATTCCAACATAGCTATAAATGCATTGCTGAATAATTGACATTGGAATAAACAGAACGAATGTCTTTTATGCAGATTAGTGTATGGGAAAATCTACCGTCAATAAAACAAAAACACACTCATGGGATTTATAATTATTCCAAATCCAAATTATGGATGCTACATCACTTCTGCAAGTACTGTGATGCACAAATGAAAGACGAAAATCACGCAAATTTCCCCTAAATTAAGTTAGAATTCTTAACATTCATAATGCTCACATCGTTACAATTATGTGTATTAACAGTCTGTGACATTGCATTGTTTATCACCCTCATTGTTAAACGTTAGAGCAAATTGTTATCCCCCATTCATACATTGGTGACTTGGGGCTTTCAATTTTCAGTAGTTGGTGTGTACGGTCATTGTCACCGGTTAACCTTGGATTGTGGTTGGAGAATTACGGAGTTTATTTTGCATTTTATCTTGGAGAAGACAAGTATCTTCTCAGTTTTAATATTTCTGATGTTTCACTAAACCATTTTTATGACGGTGACAATGAGCTTTTCAAGCGACGAAGTCAATTTCCTAGTTTACCGTTATCTCCAAGAGTCAGGTGAGATCCGTATAATTAGCGTCCAACATGGTTGTTTGTACCTTATAAACTCACTGTCGTAGTTCTAAAATCTTTATGTAGCCTTCCGGTTATAAATACATGTTTACAGGTAAGTTGCTTACCAGTCATAACCTATATAACTACGGCTTTTTGGATTATCCGCGTCGTGTGTGTTGAAGGTGTGCCGCCTTATCAGGGTGGCCATCGATATGATGGAACTCTCCCAGAAATTCATTCGCGACGACAGCTACAAGGCGTGGTTTTACCTCTTTTCCTCGAAGTCTTCTTC